TAGATATAAAAAACTTGTAATAAATAATTATAATATATATTTATACCTTTAAAAGATATATAAAATTTTTAATACTACAAATATATATAAGAAATTTAAAATAATAAATTAAAAATAAGAAATTAAAAATAAAAATTAAAAATAAGAAATTTCTGACGAATTTATATTTCCGTTGGAAATTTTCCACGGAAATATGAATCTGTTGGAAATTTCCGATAAAATATTCCGACAGAAATTTTTCGTTGAAAATTTCTGACGGATTTATCTTTCCGTCGAAAATTTCCAACAGAAAATTCCGACAAAAAATTCCGTGGAAAATTTTGAAGAGAAATATAAATCCGTTGGAAATTTTTGACAGAAATATTCATCAGAAAATTCCGTCAAAAATTTCTAACGGATCCATATCCATTGAAAATTTCTTGTAATGTTACTTTTAAGGTTAAGAAAGTCCTTAATTTACACCGGAAAAAATCAACTTATTTATTTTTATTTATACATCTATTTAAATTGAAACAAAGACTTGCGAGATATAAGTTATAAATTATATAGCAACACAAAGGATAACATTAAAAATATATTTATAGGACGATTGCAATTCAATAATCAAAACCAATCATTGCACACGGACGCGGGTTCAACGTTTTTGTGCAGGTTTATACTAACTCGTTGTTTGGAGCTTGGAGTAGGACAGCTTAGCGAAAGAGATAGGAAGGGGAGGGGACTCCACAAATGCATGCACTCAGTTTATTCAATAGCTTTTTTATGCGACCAAACTGATCACGAAAACCCCTAACCCCAATATGCCATAATATTTAAAATCTTAATTTTGTCTAGTCCTTTTCTTCACCCACTCTTCCTACCATCTTTGTTATATTATAATGCTTAGAATTGCACTCAACAAACCAGCAGTGGCGGAACTTGAAAAAATTTTTCAGGGGTGCCAGATTATTTTTAGGGGTGCCAGATTATTTTCATATATATATATAAAATTATAAATTATTTTTTTATTAATTAAAAAAATTAGAATTTCTCTTTTTTAACATAATTTTTTTAGTTTTATTATAATTAATAATATAATAATATATAAATATAATATTAATATATATATATAAAAAAAAAATTAGAAAAGTTTGGGGGAGCCGTGGCTCCCCCCTGTCCCTATGAAGATCCGCCCCTGCAACAAACCATTATGATCTCATTGACACCGACGCCAACGACAAGGCAATTCTCTGTGTTGTTTGGTTCCTTACCTTGTATTTGGTTCGATTTTGAAAGTCTACTAAACTATTCCAAAAATAATTCGGCATGGGGCTACGCAATTACCCATGCTTTTCCTATGGTTGTTTTGAAGATAAACTATAAATTTTGACGATAGACACTCTAACTGTTCCGAGTTCGTAGAGGTTTGACTACTTTTGAAAAGGTCAGAAAATATGTATACGTGGTCCTTATGGTACGTCTATGGTGACACTTTTCTCACTCAACAAGCGTCTTAACTTGTTTCTTTCTTTTTGTCACCAAAAACTAATTGAGAATTGAGATGCATAAGGTTCTAACTATGGATGGTAGATATAGAAGTAATATGTTTTTTAGTTCCTCAAAATTTAAGACAAATAATCCAAATCAATTCCTTTACATAATTTATTTTATATAAATAAATTAGAGTTGTAGTCACGTGTTTTATGAACCCAATAATTTAAATACACGGAGATTTAAAAACAATCTACTATTTTTTTATTTATAATCACACTATTAGTAAAAAAAAGTTTACTAAATTTATGGATTAATAATTTCATTAAAAAAATTTGACAAACCACTTTTATTAAATATTTTTTATGTTCAATAACATTTTTTTATTTATAAGATTCAAACTCAAAGTCATATTTAAGACGATTAAATCTAATATTACTCAAATTAACATCTTAAATATCTTACAATCTTTATATATAATATTTTTACTTGTGAATATTTTGTAACAATATTATAATAGAAAAGAGAGGAAAAAAAAGGGTTTTAATTAGATTATGTTGGTGTTTTTTGTCCGGTACTGGATGGGATATGTGGGCAAATCACTAATAAATATTATGTATATGTTAACATATATGGTGTGCAAATGCAGTTTGAAGGGTATTGAAGAATGTTTAGAAAGGGGCACCGACAGCAGTTAGAGAGACAGGATAGGGGCAGAGTCGTGGACAAATGGTTCATACAAAATCTCAACTCTGATCTCATTGGAATAATGGATGGTCCCAAACACAACATATCTAATGAAAACGAGTGAAATCCTCGATGTTTCAGTGTCACATAAAACACAAGAGGCAAGAATCTTCACCAACCTCGAAAATTAAATGGACAGGAAGGTGGAAAAAGGGTACTAAATTGAAATGGTACGGTTCACCATTGAATGAGGATTCAACTTGGGTGAAAAGCTAGCGGGGCCTTGTGCATAGCAAAAATGTTTTTCTTGTCAAATCCAATGAAAAGAGGTGAAAAAGAAAACAAAAATTATCTAATTGGTTTGACAAGTATCCAAACGTTGAATTGGGAAAAGGACCTCAGTGATTGAAGCTTGGCAACAAATTTAAACACCCGTCATAATCAGGAATCAACACCAAATAATCTGCTTTAATTTTTCAATGGGGGGAAGTTGTTAACAGCTATTATATATAAATAAAAGTTTAATTTAACTATCATCAATTCTTACCCTCCGGAAAAGAAGCAATCATATAGGATGGTTTGGCCAATGTGGACATTACATTAATTCAATATTGTTCCTACAACAACCTCATTCCCAATTCAAATGGATTCCTAGTTTTTTCACAATTAAAGTAAGAGAATGATCTTTAAATATCTTTTTTCTACCTAATCAAATTTACTACTTTTCTTTAATTTAAATAAAGAAATGTGTGAATATATTCTCATGATATTAATTTAACTACTTTTAGTTAACTTTTTTTTTATTAAATTAGCAAGATATTTTAAAAGATTTTATGTTGCTTAATTTAAAAAAGATATTATGTATTCTTAAAGTACTACATCCACACAATCTAAATCACTATAGATATCAGACGGGCAGTTTATTTATTTTTCATAATCACAACAACAATAAAGTTTGAATATATTTTAAATAAATAAAGAATGAAAATTGAATATAAAATTTCGTGTAAATTATTTAAATTCTTTTTCATGGATTAAATGTTTTGTCTTATATATCACTAAATTAAATAATACTTTCTTTATTACATAATAAGTATCATCTTAAATTATCTTACACAAATTAAGAAAAAGTTAATAAATAGATGAAAGGGAATAATAAATTTACAAAATGAATTATATAAATAATTTCTTTGTTAGAAAAAATGTAACCCAATAATTACTTTTTAAAGAATATTATAAAAAAAATACAAATAAAAATAGAAAATTAATATTTCATTAAAAAGTTAACATAATATTTGTTTTTAGATTTTTTTTTTCAAGTAGAACACTTGTTACTGACAGAGTAAAATTATTTAAACTTCAATGCCGAGTCATTACTATTCATTGATTTTTGTAATCAGTAGAATAATAATATCTGTGTAACGAGCATAAGGCTAAGGAGGGGAACCATCCCTCAAAAGCCGGCCCAAGAGGTTGGAGAACCTCCCGCCTTATAAGGACTCCTTGGTGAGGAGACCTCCCCGATGTGGGACTTGTTACATTACCACCCCCTTCGAAAGCCAGCGTCCTCGATGGCTGCACTCCACGGTACTTCACTCACCGGCACTTCACTCGGCCTTCTTGCCGGTCAGAACCCTCCGATGGTCAGAACCCTCCGTGGGTAGCCCTTATCGATTTGGCTGGCTCTCAATGAAAGCACCATTGTAACGAGCATAAGGCTAAGGAGGGGAACCATCCCTCAAAAGCCGGCCCAAGAGGTTGGAGAACCTCCCGCCTTATAAGGACTCCTTGGTGAGGAGACCTCCCCGATGTGGGACTTGTTACAATCTGCTTCTCATGACATGAGTGTTATATAATAAATTGATTCACATTGATTTATTGATTCATTTTATGCAGCTACGACTAATGCAAATTTATGTATATAAATAAACATTTTCATTTGTTTACACGGACCGAAAGAGAAATCATATCCACTACACAGTAATAAATTGTCTGAAAATGAAATTGTAGGGCCCTCAACTCTACGTCCTTCCAAAGTCCAAAACTTTTTTTTTTTTTTTTAAATTTTTGGAAGAGGTCAATATGATTCTTCACCTGTGCTTTAAATCATTAATCTAGCAAGTTAAATTAAAAGCAAACGAAAACAATATCAAATTGCAAAAATTAAAGCAGCGTGGGATACGTTTAAGATTCATAACTTTAGATTAACAATTTAACATGTCAGGAAAGTAAATATAATATTTTCAAACTAAAGCACCTGGCTGTATACGGTTTCCTGTTTATAGTTTGTCTACAAATTTAATTACTTCTGAAAAGACAAATGTTTAATTGAATTATAATTTACAAGAAGGTTCTAAGAGCCCAACTGCAATTGATAAAACGATTATCTTGTAATCTATTCGGTCCTAATAATGGTGCTATAGACCTTACTATTATAATCCTACACACCTTTCTTTCCTATTTTAATTTTAATTAAATTAATTTTGGCCCGGGCCCTGGACAGTACATCCCAACAAACTTGATTTAAATAAATAATACATGACCTAAAAATAATATTTTTTTCTTTCCCAGTGACATCACAGACACATAATTACCTAGTGATTAAAATGTTATCACCTTTGGGAATAAAATAGACGGGTAATATTGGATTAACATATACAAATGATAACATTTTTTTTTAAAATCAGATGCTGTCACTATGAGGTGTGAATTTTGGTCCCTTTTGACATGTTTTATCCAATATGGTCATCTGTGAAATTTTCAGTTTTATCCTATGTATTTTTCTTATGTGTGTATGTATATTACCATTCTCTTGAATCATCGACCCTTGCCCTTTTTGTGAGCCGAAAGCCGCGGAAAGAGAGAAAGTAGTTTCTTGGAAGGCACTCTATAAGGTTCTCTCTCACTAATCAGTAATCACTATATATATGCACATAACATACTGTACAGGGCACGCCTCTTGCATAATAAAGTGCTTTGTGTTCAAGCCATCACTTTGTGACTTCCCTTTCGTAATCTCTCAGATATCTTTCAGCTTCTGAGCTTTATTCTTTCGTTGATTTCGTTTTGTTTTGTTTATTTTTTTCTGTGATACTTGACATACTCTTCAACAAGGCATGGCAACAAAGGCAAAGAACAACAAGGTGGGGAGTGAGTTGGGTTGTGGTCTCATGGGGAGAATTCTCCACCTCAGAAGCCACAAGCTGAGAAAAGTTCACTCGCTACCCTTGAAGGCTAGAAACAATGTACTACACAATGATCATGAAGATGGCAAAAGTGAACCCAAGAAGACCCCAAATGATGAATCAAAGGTTACAACAAAACTTATCCACACAAACGGATGCCATAACATAAACCTTCCATAAAGAGTGTTTCTATTCACCAACAACCTTGTACACATTCAAACAATCATAATCAGAGGCATTCAGATGTTGTTGCAAGAAGCTCAACTTCATCCTCCACTGGTACTTCAATTTCATCTCACACAAAGGTTCAACAAAACAATGACAAGAATCATGAGAATTCCCTTGCACTTGCTAGGATAAGTACTAGTCACAATGAGAACAACAAGCCTCAATTGAAACTCACTGGGAATTTGCTTGTAAATAACACCCCAAGAAGAAAGAGTGTGGAATACATGCCTAAGAATGCAGAGTTGAACTCTGTGACTAATTCTCACACCAATGCAAGCAAAGGCTTGATGGGGAATATCATGAGGAGGAACAGCATCAGCAATGAGGTTGCACAGTTTTTGAGTCCTAGGATGAACAAAATGGACCCTGAGATGTTGAAGTCCATGGGAAATGAAGCATACAAGCAGGGAAGATTTGAAGAGGCTTTGGTTTTGTATGATCGAGCCATTGCACGTGATTCAAATAAGGCAACGTATCATTGCAACAAGAGTGCAGCTTTAATTGGCTTAGGAAGGCTTCAGGAAGCAATTATTGAGTGTGAGGAATCTATCAAGCTGGACCCTTCTTATGTCAGAGCCCACAACCGTTTGGCCACAATATATTTCAGGTACTACTCGGTCATAATAATGAAATATTTATGCTTCATTCATAGATGTCAAGTATGCTTAACCTTATGATATAATGTTTGTTTTTTTGTTACTTATCTTTATAGAATTGCAAATTTCAATGCAGGTTGGGAGAGGTAGAAAAAGCACTGGATTGCAATGAGTCAGCCTTATATGCTGATTCAGTACTTGCTTTCCAAGCTCAGGCTCTTAAAAATCACCTTAACAAATGCATAGAAGCACGGAAAGTCAATGCATGGAGTGTTATACTAAAGGAAACAAAGTCTGCAATATCCTTAGGTGCTGATTCAGCTCCACAGGTTAGCTATTTCCTTGGTCAAGCATTTTTTTTGGAAGCTTCTTAATTATGAAACACCAAATAAGTTTTTAATCCTGGATTCTGTATCAAAATTCGTTCAATTGGCAAATGTTGCTGCCAATTGGGCATTATCTAGAATTACCCTTTGCATTTATTGGCTTCATACTAGATCGCTATGATTTGTATTGATTAATCAAAAATTGGTTTTGTATGCTAGGTCTATGCTTTACAAACTGAAGCCTTGTTGAAGCTCCTAAGATACCAAGAGGCATATGTCATCTACGATAAAATGCCAAAATTTTCACTTGATTGGTGTACCAAGATATTTGGCCCGGTTCACAGCGCTTACCTTTTAATGATAAGTGCACAGGTTCACTTAGCTGCTGGCAGGTTGGTGAAAATGCTTTATTTTGAAGTGTCCCACAAATTCTTCTATCATGTTTCATGTATTTGCCAATTGACATGTAATGTCAAAATATTACAAAATATGCCAACCAGGCTAAAAGTTTGTTTGGACATAATCTTAGAAAGGTTTATGAAAGTTTTTTCACCGAAAATAAAGATTTTTTTTTTCCAATAAAATAACTAAAAAAATATTTTTAACCTGTATTCAAACAAGCTCTAATAGTACTAATTTTCATAAAGCCTCGTAACAAAGATTTAGATCTAACATATTCAGTCCAATTAAATTAGACTGAGAATGATGCCTTGTAAAATAGCAATGCAATTTTGTAGACACCAAACTATATTAATTATCAGCCTCACGCTACCAATGCCTTATATGTATAATTAGTTATATTCAATGATCAATGCTCATACATTGTTTGAGCCTAACTAGTGGTGAATCTGAAGTTGAATTGAATTTTGATTGTTAAAAGGTTTGAGGAAGCTGTGACAGAAGCTCAGCAAGCAGCTAAAGTTGATCCTGGCAATAGAGAGGTGAATGCAGTGGTAAGGAAGGCCAGAGCAGCAACATCAGCTAGAATGAGTGGAAACTTGCTCTTTAAGGCATCAAAATTCACCGAAGCATGTGCCGTGTACAACGAAGGACTAGAACATGATCCACACAACTCAGTTCTTCTGTGTAACAGAGCTGCATGTCGTTCTAAGCTTGGCCAATATGAGAAAGCAATTGAAGATTGTAATGCGGCACTCATGGTTCAACCATGTTATAGCAAAGCAAGGTTAAGGAGGGCACATTGCAATGCCAAGGTGCTTTAATTTCTATGCTAAGATTTAATTTTTTTTGGTACATACTTTTTTTCAGTTAATAATAAGTTAACCCTTTTGTGGTATTTTTTTGTGCATGTAGTTGGAAAGGTTGGAAGCAGCTATTCAAGACTATGAAATGCTATTAAGGGAAAGGCCAGGGGATGAGGAAGTGGCAAGGGCATTGTTTGAAGCTCAGATCCAACTCAAGATTCTACGTGGTGAAGATACTAAGGACTTGAAATTTGGTTCAAATTTGGTTTTCATCTCAAGTAATGATCGGTTCAGACATTATGTGACCTCACCTGGTAAGGCATATTTGGCTGCTTCTGTTGTACAATTACATTAATGAGTACTACAAATACACTAACCATTGATGAGGGTTATTGAATAGGGATGGCTGTGGTGCTCTTTAGCAACAAGGCAACCCACAAGAAAGTGTTACTTGAGTTGGAGCAAATCAGCAAGAGATTCCCATCACTTAACTTCCTCAAGGTTGGTTTATTTTATATGGTTTAGACTTTACAGCTTGTAGTAATGTATACTGAAAAGATATTAAAAATGAAATAGCATTTTATGCTGGAAAGTATTAAGAAGGAAGAAACCTATGCAACTAATTGTGTTGATTTAGAAAAATCAACTTCCACCAAAATTCGTTATAGATGTTTCTGTCTTTCTCAATGTTTCTTACTTAATGATAACTTTTTAGGTGGAGATCGAAGACCACCCCTACTTAGCAAAGTCAGAAGGTGTGAGCTCTATCCCAGCTTTCAAAATATACAAGAACGGATCAAGGGTTAAAGAAATTTCAGGCAACAACCACGACTTGTTAGAAAGATCAGTTAAATTGTATAGCAGCTGAGATAATTGCACTTAAATAATGCCAACAAATTGTTTCTCCTTCATAAATAGGTGGCCCTGCTTACAGGGCAGAGGAAATTCTAGAAATACGATGTGCATTGATCACTTTACATGTAAAGAATTTCATAGAAAAAAGAATTCTGCGTTAGTAATAGATTTTTTAATCTAGTGGATGTTGCTTTAATTATTCATATCCCATGTATATTGGTTCGACAAATCTAAACGTCTGTGTTGTATTTTTTTTAAAAATGTTACATGTTCTTAACAAGAATGTTTTCAGAGGTTGTCCTAGTGAATGACTAGTTGCAAATAGTAGAACATAATAACTACCTCCGTTGGAGAAACTTTATGGAATGTCAGTGGATTTTTGTTCTGTCCTCGTTGGTGTGGTCAGTTTTTTTCCTTTCGTTTTTGTTAGCTTCGAGTTGCATATGAAATGTTTGACAAAGTTGTCTGGGGCATCTTTTAAAACTAAGAGGTTGAGCTTCCTCATAACATGCAAATTATGATTCATAGCTTAATTTATTGTCTCGCTCTTATAGATCGATATTCACAATTTTTAATGTCTATAAAAAGAGATGGATGGTTATTAGATTTTCACACCACAAACAACCTAAACAATAATCTTATTTTATTATAACTACTGTAGCAGTATATTTTCACAAGGAAGAAGGAACCTTCAGTGTCAAAGTGAATGAAAGAGGGTAGTAGAAGCTGGATTAGAATATGATGATTGAAAGATTGACATAAAGATCATAAAAGTAAACATTTCAGTTTTGTCCTGAACTTATTCTTCTCCAGAAATCATTGTCATTGAAGTGAAAGAATTCAAGGTATAAAGTGAATATGGGTATAACATAATTAACAGCTGGAAGAGAATCAATGTAAATAAAGAATGAAGAATATTGGTGGATGTTAAAATGCAATAGGCAATAAAAGAATATAAATAACCACAGTGATTCCATCCAGTAATTGCTGTAACAATCATGAATCTCTCAGTCATGATTTATTTTTTAACTAGTTCTACCATGTTACGTGTGCTATCCTACAATGTTCTTCTCATTATCATAGAAGTCCTGCAATTTTCTTATTCTACAATCATAAATTTATTTTTCACTGATAATAAAACTTTTACTTTTTAGAAAAGTTTACCTAAACATACCGCAAAAGAAAAAGAAAAAAAAGAGTGAGGTGGTCATCCTCCAAATTATATAATATAATATATATAGAGAAAGTAGATTTGTTTTTCTTTCTTTAGCTGAAATCAACTGGGTCAGCCCTGTGTCCATGTACTGTTTGTTAAATTGGGCACGTCTCGGCACTGGTCCATATATTTTAGAATAAATTATATATAGTCAAAATTATGTGGAAAATATATTTTATTTTCTTATATTTATATTGGTCTTTATATATTAAAATATTCTTTTATTCTTTTATCTTTATATTTAAATCAATTTAATCCTTTTAAAATCATAATTATTTTTAATTTTATAATATGATTTTAAATCAACTTTTTATTAATTTAATATGTGAAATTTGTAACATTAGAATCACTTAGATGAATACTATAAAATGTGATCAACATTTAAATCTAAAAGAATCATAAATATAGTGAAAATTGTGTGAAAAATATATCTTATAAGTAATAAGAAAATAATATAAATTTTTTACTTTTACTATGTTTAAAATAATTTTGATTTAAACTTTAATTATATTTAATAATTTTTAAATGAATAAATTTTATGAGACAAATTTTAAATTTTGAATTAGTCAAAAAATATTTAAAAAGACTAAATTAACTTAAATTTATGAATAAAAGATTAAAATAAATTTAAAAAATAAGATAAAAGATTCAAAATATAATTTAAACTTATATGTTATTATTTTCTTATTTTTTTTGGTGAAAATTATTTTTCTGATTGTTATCATGGTTTTACGGCCACTAGTTTGAATAGTGCCAAGTTGGCTTCGTTTTTAGTGACTTTGTGACGAGATTGGGCTCAGCCCATACTGGTGTGTTTCGAAGCATTGGATTGTTGGGCTTAGTTATTGTTAGTCTATTCATTTTTAAGTATATTTGGACTCTGGTTGCCGAGATTTAGTTAATATTGGGTTTGTCCTATTTTCTCTCTCTAGTTAAAAAAAAGAATCTAAAATCAGTATAGAAAATAAATCTCAAAATATTTGAATCATGTACATATTTTAATTTCATGCTATAAGTATTCTTTTCTAATATTAACTAAAAAGAATAAAAGAAATGGCGGTAAGTATTTTTTCATTGAGTTAAAAACAAATATCTTTTTAATCAAAATCAAACATTTTTTTAAATAATTAGTTTAACTATAAATCTCTTTATAAAATTAATCAATTTCCCTAAGTAGCAACAAGTTAATAAATGAAATACATAAGTTTTATTAAAATCAATTATCTCAGCAGTAGCCATAAGTTGGTTTAACAATTCTTTTTAACTAATATAACTTATTATCGTATTAAAATTGAACATTTTCTAAGAAAATTGATTTAAGAATTAGCATTCTAAATTTATTTCTTGGTTTATTGTCATGAAAATCTTGAACTTTTGAGAAAACTTGACATATGACGAGTTGGTAATCCCTATCTTTTCTTATTTGAATATTTGAATATTTCATATTTATTTTATGTTTAGTTATATGAAAAACTTTTGTTTTTAGGAATGCCTAGAAACGTGATGAATTGATCCTCTCTACCATTCCAAAAATAAAATTAATCAGCAAATCACTTTTTTATTTTCTTAAAAAAATTACTAAAATTCACCAATCCAAGGATGGAATGTCACACAACTCTTCACCAATCCAAAAAAAATTATTAAAATTCACAAACTCAAATCAATTAGTGATTCACCCATTGGAATTCTAACTCACTCACACAATACTCTGATCAATTTGTTGATGGATTCAAATTTTAAAACATTACTCTCAAGCCTAAGGACCAAAACCCCAAGCATTGAGGCAATTAAATTTCCTCTGCTGAAAGTGAAGCAAGTACCCGTGATTTTATTTTGTATAAGCTATGTAGCACAATTTAACAAGAGGGGCAGGGCCATCTCAAGTGATTTAAAAGTATGATTGATGTTATCTTTGTAGTTCCGGTTGCCTTCAATATCTCATGTTTCTAATTTTACCAATCTGAGTTTTATAATGATACAATTCAATATATTTTTTGAGGTCTTATATATATAGATCAATTTATATATAAATAATTGATTGCCCATTAAACAAAAGATATAATTTATTAATTTATTAAGTTATATGCACAATTAAATCTCTAAATGTGACATATCTTTTTAATTATTTTTTTAAAAAAAATCCTATAAACATGTGTTCTAAATTATTGTTATAATATTTTTTAAATCCTATTGTTGTTGTTCTTTATTAACCTTCAATAAAATGATAATAAACATGTGTATGTTGTAGGTAGCTTTACATGCTAACATAGTCCCTCATGGTGAAAAGAAGAAGCAACCTAGTAAGTTACACATTTTTGTTCGATAACTAGTTACATAAAAATGATCTATGTAGCTAATAATATGTGTATCTTCTCTCAAATCAACTATGAACTTAGTTTCCTCTCTAATTTCAACAAATAATTGTGTTTCAAGTTTTGAATCTACTTCTCTCTTCATCTGTATCTTGCTTTTTATTTTATTTTTTTCTAATTCTTTATTTTTGTGTTGATTAGTTTTAGCCTATATTTCGTTGATATTTGTATTGAAGAAGTAACACGTTTTTCAAAAACTCTTGTATAAAGTTAAAAGAAAATATTATTTCCCTTAAATAAACTAATTCATCTACGTAGACATAATACGTAAGCAAATACGTAAGAAGCCATAATCGCATTGTTCTTTTTTATTACTATTTTCTGGTCAATGATTAGATATTGATTCAAACTTCGAAGATTTTAATTTCTGGTTAATAAAAAAAAATAATTTTTAAGAAGGCAACCTTTTTAATAAAAAAAAGATCACTTGTACTGTATAATTACTTTTAAATTTACCAAGATATGTCTATTTAATTTTACAAAAATCCAAATTGGCGTGGCAGCCATAATGGTCATATTCATATATGCACGGCAATGCGTTGGCACTGATTCGCATTACTAGTGAAAAAGGAACTGCTGTTGTGCTTTTTTAACTTTTAAGAAAATAAAAACATATTTAAATATTATATAAGGATATAAATTATTTTGTTAACTATATTAATAATAATATCCTACAAAACATGTGATTTTTTAATTTATAATTTGGTTTCTTATATTATAAAGTCAGTTTATTATACATAAAAATGTTATAAATATTTAAATAAATAAATAAATTTAACTATTACAGGTTTCATTATTTTAATTATTGGTCCGATTTTTTTAAATTAATTTTAATAGTTTAACATAATTAACTTTAAGCAGAGTCTGAAAGAGAAAGATGAGTAATTTAGAGAGTTGTTAAAAATAGTTTAACAGAAGTATCTTCACAAAAAACAATGTTTCTTTTAGTATAGTATCTGCGATATTAAGTTATTACAAATGTTCAATATACAGTATTCTTTTTTATACAAAATATATATACCAAAAAAGTAATATTCCTTTCATTACTGTATCTAGAATATTTACTAATGAGAAATGCTAATTATTCAGTACATTTTAGTAAAATTTATAAAGAAAGTGGGATAAATATATAAAGGGAGAAATTTATGATAAGATATTGACACAAAATTTAATTAAAAATAAATAAATATATTTTTAATTCTTTTAAAATTGGCAAAATTTATTCATGGTGTTTACAATTATGTGTTTTCTTGGTTTTCATCCTCAAATTATAACATCAATATTTTTTTTTCTCTTTGTTATTATATGACTTTCAACAATTGCTTAGGTGTTTAATTGAAAGTTAAACGATGATTTCAAGTGTTACTTATTAGTGTCTATAATATTATATTAGTACTTGATAAAGATTTATTACTATTTCAGTATAACGATTCATCATGATCATCATATTTAACATACTTAAGAATGTATACTTGTAATACTTGGATATGCACACTTATATATAAAATGTATATAAAATATAAGTGTAAATAAAAACAACTCTATAAGTATATATATAATATATTTATAGTCATCCAATAATACAGTATAAACCATTAGTTATCAATCAAGCAATGTCTATATAAACCAATAAAAGTATTCAAGGACCACATCGCCAACAAATATGGCCTAGCAAAAGCTCCAACAATTCAACTTTAGCTAACCCTGTTCTACTTCCATGAAAATCATGATCATTATAGTTTCACCACCAGAAAAACATGCAAGGATAAGTTAGATTTCAAAAATAATATAAGTATAGGAAGA